CCCGCCCTGGGCGCTTCTGGGCTAGGGAGGCCGAAAGCCGGTGGCCCAGAGCCCCCGGAGTCGCGTGGACTGCCCGGGACCGAGAGGGCGGGGTCGCGGGGCGGGTCCGGAGGGGGCGGTACTGAGGTTCTGTCCCGGCAGAGCCACCAAAGGGTACTCGGTTAGCTAGAGGGAGGCCCTGGCAGCGGTTGGAAGAGGGCGCTCAGGGAAGGGGAAGAGAAATGCTGGGGCAGGACCCCAAGAGAGCTGGTACCCTGAGTTTGATCCAGGAAGAGATGGGGGATTATGGAATTCTCTACCTGGAATAAGGGAATTCTGAGAATTCTTTCCAGGACCCGGACAGTACTGGAGGTTGTGCTCTACAGACAAGGTTCAGCCACGCCTAAGGCCTGCGACCTACCAAAGAAGACGCGACTCCTAACAACCAGATTGGGAGAGGAGAGCTTTCCTTTCCCAATCTGGTTGTTAGGAGTCGCGTCTTCTTTGCTGCTTTTCCCTCCCTCAGCACCCCTTCCCCCAACTACCAACAATCCTAAGTGTGTACCTGGGTCCCAGGCCTCCTGGGTTCCTGCTTCACCTTTGGGCAGCTGGGATGAGGAGAGCCCTGCCTACGTTTTCTTTTGTTTTTTTGTTTGTTTGTTTGTTTTCTTTTTTGACATAAAAGTTTATTATTTTTTTATTAATTATTTTTATGGTGATATTGGTTAACGGAATCCAATAAGTTTCAGCTGTACACTTTAACAGTAAGGCATATATATATTTACACTGTATGTTCACCTCCCATAGTTAGGTTTCTTTCTCTCACCACATATTTAACGCCCTTTACCCTGTCTACCTCCCGCCTCCTCCCACCCACCCTGCCTCAGTTTACCCTTGGCCTAGGTTGTGAGGCCCCAAGGCATCCCTGCCTGAGTCTAGATTTCCCTCTGAGGTGCTCAACACTGATTAGGGCTGAACTGGGGCTTGATAAACTCACAGCTTACAAGGTGCTCTGAGATCCTCTGTAGATGAGAAGTAACTGGGGAAGCTGCTAGGGAAGAAAGCCTTTAACAATCATGAAAGTGCTGTGCTCATTTCCTCCAGGCCTCTGGCTCTTGATTATAGCTGACCAAGCACTTTTATATCATCTGATCCCACAATAAGCTAGGAGGGAAGCAGGGAAGGGAGTATTACCTCCATAGTACAGAAGGAAAACTGAGGCCAGGAGGGGACAGGGATTGCCCAAGAGCCCAGAAGTGGTCAGCAGTGGGGAAGCCAAGACCCACAATCTGGGTCTTGTCTCGGCCTGGTCCCCAGAGGCTAGAAATTTCCCTAGGGGCCATGTGTGGGTT